TTTAAAAGCCTTTTGTAGCTTTATATATAAATCTTTATATAAAAATCTTTTTGTAGCTTTTTTATATAAAAAGCGTTTGTTAGATTTTTAATATAAAAAGCTTTTTGAAGCTTGTTTATATTAAAAGCTTTGTAGCTTTTTTATATAAAAATAAGCTTTTGGTAACTTTTTATATAAAAAGCTTTTTAAGTTTTGTATATGAAGAGCTTTTTTTTTTAAAGTTTTTTGATGCTTTTCATATAAACAGCTTTTTGTAGCTTTTTTTTTAAATAAGCTTTTGGTAACTTTTTATATAAAAAGCTTTTTGCAGCATTTTTATATAAATAGAAGCTTTTGGTATCTTTTTTATATGTATGAAAAGCTTTTTGTAGCTTTTTTATATGTATAAAAAGCTATTTGTAGCTTTTTTTATATGAATAAAAGCTTTTTGTAGCTTTTTTATATGTATAAAAAGCTTTTTGTAGCTTTTATATGTGTAGAAAGCTTTTTGTAGCTTTTTTAATATTAAAAGCTTTTTAAGATTTTTTTAAGCTTTTTGGTATAAAAACGTATTACAGCTTTTTTTATATGAAAAGTAGTTTGTTCATATAAAAAAACTTTTTAAAGTTGTTTTATCAAAAACTTTACATAAAAATGTGCTATAGCTTTTTATGAAAAACTTTTTAAAGCTTTTCGGTATAAAAACGCATTACAGCTTTTTATATAAAAATCAGTTTCTTAATATTACAAACTTTTTTTAGCTTTTTCATAAAAAAAGTTTTTTTGTAAAAAGCTTTCTCATAGAAATGATTTTTATAGCTTAAATAAACCTATTTAACATTTCGTATTCTAAGAGTTGGTTGATTCATTGAATTTCCTAAAAGCTTTTTTGTGGCTTTACAAATTTGTTTGGTGGGAAGAAGAATTGTAAAACGATTCCTGGTTGTAACTAGTGTCCGATTCCTTTTGGTTTTCAAAATAAAAAAAAATTTCTTTAAAATTAAAAATAAAACAGCCAATTTTTTGAGATTTTTTTTTTTTTTGTTTAAATAAACAAAATTTTCTTTATATTGAAAATAATATTAAATCAAATTAAAGAAAATTGTTTAATTATAATATGTTTGTGGATAATACGAATAAGAGTTATTTAATATAATTTTGTATTTTGAAATTTTTGTCATATATATAGTTTTTTTGTTTATACAAACTAAATGAGAATTCTAAAAAGCTAAAATTATAAAAAAAAAGTATACATTTTTGTGTGGGGGTTGAAAAATAAAGTTTAAATTAAAACTACAGTAGGTAAAGTTAGAAAGAAAAGTAAAATTATAATAAAGAAAATAATACCATAATGTATATACACATAAAAATATTTTATAAAATAAATTTGTTGTCAATACTTTTTTGTTTTTCTTTACTTTAAATTTACACTTAAATACATTTCCAAAATGTGTTTATAGTTTTTTACAAATTTTTAAACATTTCAAAATTTTTCTTATGTTTCTTTTCTTTTACAACTAAAAGCTAATAATACCTTAGAATTTCTTTTGTTTATATTTATAAATTAATAATAAATTTTATTTCAAAATTTACATGACTTTTTTAAAGAATTTGCTTAGCATTGTTAACTGGTTTAATATAGATTTTAAAATTTAGTTTTTATTTAAAGAAATAATATAAATTTACAATTTTTGTTTTTACATTTAAGATTGTGTCCATTTTAGTTTTATTTTTTTCAAAAACATTGTCATATTTGGATTTTTCTTTCAATTAAAGTTTTGAAAATTGAAATTTTGTCACAAAACTTATAATGTTTTTGTTAATTAAATTTTATACAATTTGTTGAGTTGTCATTTCTACTTTTTGTATTCGTCTGCCTGACAAACGATATAATTTACAAAATTATAATTTGTTTTAAACCGAAAAATATTTTTTTGTTTTAAATTTCAATTTTATTTTTTTAATAAACTTAAGTTTTTTTTCTTTTAAATTAAAAAGCTTTTTACAATTTCTTTATATGTATTTTACAAAATTTGTTAAATTTTTTTAAACTTATAATTTTTGTAATATATTTTACAAAAAAAACTTGTGTGTGTGAGTTTTTGTTTTTTAAATAAAAATTTTAATTATTTACATTAAAAATTTTCGTTTAAATTCATTTTATTTTTAATTTAAGTATAAAATATAAAAATATTTTTAAAGTTTTCACAGTATATTTAGTTTTATCAATAAATTTTGTCTTTTTCTTTTAAGTATAATTTATATTTTATTGTTTTTTATTTTCATACATTTATATCCTAAAATTGTTAAATTTCTATTATAATAAAAAAAGTTTTTTTTTTTTTTTGAATTCATATTTTTGTAGTTTTTTTTTCACCTAAATACATGTATATAAAAAAAAGGAGTTAAGAAATTGGTGGCATTTGTTTAGTAAGTGTGTAAATAGTTTAACGATAGTCTTTTTATACAGAAACCTATGTAAAGACAAATAAAAAGAAAAATAAAACAAACAATTGAATTGAAAAAGCTCTGCTTACTATCTTCAAATGCTTTTTAAAAGAGCTTACAACTTTAACTAATAAGCTTAACAGCAAATAGCTTTTTGTTCTTTACGTAATCTGATTAAAAGTTAACGAAAGCTTTTAGAAATGGTAATTTATTCCACAAAGCTTTAAAGCTTACAAATGAGCTGCAACATTTTGAATTTTAAAATATAGACTTGTCTATATTTTAGTTTGTATTCTGAACAATATGTATTTTAGCCTATAGTCTGGACTATAGATTAGTCTGTAGTATAACTATAGTTTAGTCTGGACTATAATTTAGTCCATAATCTACACTATTGTTCAGTTTATAATCTAAACTATAGTCTAGTCTGTAGTCTGGATTATAGCTTAGTCTGTAGTATGGACTATAGTTTAGTCTATAGTTTGGAATATAGTTTTTTCTATAGCCAGTATTATATATTATATTATTTTATAGTATGGACTATAGATTATTCTATAGTCTGGACTAAAGATTTTTCTATAGTTGTACCATAGTTTAGTCTATAGTCCGGACTAAAGTTTAGTCTGTAGTCTGGCCTATAGTTTATTCTATAGTCCCGGACTATTGATTAGTCTACAGTCTGGACCATAGTTTAGTCTAAAGTGTGGACTATAGCCTATTCTACGGTCTGGACTGTAGTTTAGTCTATAGTCTGAAGTGTTGACTAAAACATAGTCTGAACTTTAGTTCACTCCGGCACTTACAATTTCGACTAGGACTGGACTAGAGTCTAGTCTCTAAGACTACAGTAAAGTCTATAGCTTAGGCTACTGCAGACTATAGTGTGGATTAGAGTTGCCATAGTCTAGTCTATAGTGACTAAAGAGCTTGTTATCAAATTAGGACTATAGAGTTATGTCCATAGTCTAAGTCTATGAGTGTAGTCTATAGAGTCTAGTCCTATAGTCTATCAATATTCTAGGACTTAGTCTCGTCTAGTCATAGTCTATCATAGTCTAGTCCATAGTCTATAGAGTCTAGTCTATAGTCTAGTCTATAGTCTAGTCTATATTAGTCTAGTAGTCTAGTCAGTCAGTATAGTCTAGTCTATAGTCTAGTCTATAGTAGCTAGTTGTCTATAGTCAGTCTATAGTCTAGTCTATAGTCTAGTCTATCGTCTAGTCTATAGTCTAGTCTATAGTCTAGTCTATAGTCTAGTCTATAGTCTAGTCTATAGTCTAGTCTATAGTCTAGTCTATAGTCTAGTCTATAGTCTAGTCTATAGTCTAGTCTATAGTCTAGTCTATAGTCTAGTCTATAGTCTAGTCTATAGTCTAGTCTATAGTCTAGTCTATAGTCTAGTCTATAGTCTAGTCTATAGTCTAGTCTATAGTCTAGTCTATAGTCTAGTCTATAGTCTAGTCTATAGTCTAGTCTATAGTCTAGTCTATAATCTAGTCTATAGTCTAGTCTATAGTCTAGTCTATAGTCTAGTCTATAGTCTAGTCTATAGTCTAGTCTATAGTCTAGTCTATGGTCTAGTCTATAGTCTAGTCTATAGTCTAGTCTATAGTCTAGTCTATAGTCTAGTCTATAGTCTAGTCTATAGTCTAGTCTTTAGTCTAGTCTATAGTCTAGTCTATAGTCTAGTCTATAGTCTAGTCTATAGTCTAGTCTATAGTCTAGTCTATAGTCTAGTCTATAGTCTAGTCTATAGTCTAGTCTATAGTCTAGTCTATAGTCTAGTTTATAGTCTAGTCTATAGTCTAGTCTATAGCCTAGTCTATAGTCTAATCTATAGTCTCGTCTATAGTCTAGTCTATTGTCTAGTCTATAGTCTAGTCTATAGTCTAGTCTATAGTCTAGTCTATTGTCTAGTCCATAGTCTAGTCTATAGCCTAGTCTATAGCCTAGTCTATAGCCTAGTCTATAGTCTAGTCTATAGTCTAGTCTATAGTCTAGTCTATAGTCTAGTCTATAGTCTAGTCTATAGTCTAGTCTATAGTCTAGTGTATAGTCTGAAGTGTTGACTAGAACATAGTCTGAACTTTAGTTTAATCGGCATTCTGGACTATAGTAGCCTAGACTGGACTAGTGTCTAGTCTATAGGACTACAGTAGAGTCTATAGCTTAGGCTACTGTCAAGACTATAGTGTGGATTAGAGTTTGTCCATAGTCTAGTCTATAGTCTAGTCTATAGTTTAGTCTATAGTTTAGTCTATTGTCTAGTCTATAGTCTAGTCTATAGTCTAGTCTATAGTCTACCTTATAGTCTAGTTTATAGTCTAGTCTATAGTCTAGTCTATAGCCTAGTCTATAGTCTAATCTATAGTCTCGTCTATAGTTTAGTCTATTGTCTAGTCTATAGTCTAGTCTATAGTCTAGCTTATAGTCTAGTTTATAGTCTAGTCTAGTCTATAGCCTAGTCTATAGTCTAATCTATAGTCTCGTCTATAGTCTAGTCTATTGTCTAGTCTATAGTCTAGTCTATAGTTTAGTCTATATTCTAGTATATAGTCTAGTCTATAGTCTAGTCTATAGTCTAGTCTATAGTCTAGTCTATAGTCTAGTCTATAGTCTAGTCTATAGTCTAGTCTATAATCTAGACTACAGTCAAATGTATAATCTAGACTTCATTCAAATGTATATTCTCTTTTAGGTTAAAGTTCATATTTAGCTGAAAGGGATGATCAAAATTCTAAAGCTTTTTGAATATAAAAAGCTTTTTATATTTCGTAATTAAGCGATTAGATTAGAACTATGTATATATTCAGTAGAGATCATTTCATAAAAAACTGTCAGTTTACGTTATAAAAAGTTAAAGCTTTCTCAGTGTGTATTTAAGCTTTTTAGTTCAAAATCAGGTTTCGCTTTTGAAATTATCGAATGTTAGGGAAAAAAGCTTTTAACGAAAAGGTTTGCTTTTATAAAAATTAAAACAAAGCCATGACAAATTATCGTTTTACAACTTTAAACAAAGTTTTACCGAGATCGATTTAGAACTTAAGTTTAATTGGAGAAAAAATCTGTAGCAAAACTTTGATTTCACAAATTTACCACAACTGGGTAAATTAACTTTTAATAAAAAGTTAATTAAAATTTTAACGAAATTATTGAATGCTTTGATTAAAGATTTAAGCTTAATATATGAGAAAAGCTCCTTAGAAGTTTTTCTTTCTACCAATCACCTGGTTCTATACCGAAATCATTGGAAATTGTTGTTATTATTATTTAAAAAAAGCTTTACAGAGATCTTTTTTACAACTTATTACTAGGAAAAAAAAGCTTTTTAGTTAAGCGAAGCTTTGAATTAGAATCGTATTTGTGTTTTTTAGAAACTTTGGAAAGAACTTAAGGACTCTCTAAAGCATTTCTCATGTAAATTTGAATAAATTTGCAAAAATTTTGATTAAAAATAAATGATTTATATATCAGTTGTAACACTCTTCCACCTTAATAGCTTTATCTGTTCCTAATTATTTAAAACTGAACATAAATTTCATATTTCACCTAACAAAAAAAAAATCCTATACTGTTCCCTTGAACCATTTTTATATACGAAAAACTAAAATCTCCTCCAAACTTTCATCAAAATTTTTAAACCCACTATCATCGCACAATTCAAAATAATTTACCACTAATAACACTTAAAACTGATGCCCCCAATTTCCAACTAAATCACATTAGTCATCATTTGAGCGTATTATAAATATTGTCAAGACCACCTGAATCAGACTGGCTGCCGCTTAAGGCCCTAGCACCTATAGTGCCATTAGCACCCACATCGACGGTAGTGACATGGGACCGCGCATCATTACGCGCTTTATGGTTTTTACTGTTGTTGTTGTTGCTGTTCGTTATTGACTTGCTGTGGTTGACCTTATCGGCAGCATAATTTTCTCCTAAAGGTTCATCGCCCAGATAAACAGTGTGATAGGACACTGGACTGGCCGAGCAATTAATTTGTACACGACTTATAGCACTACCAAGATTGTGGGCCGACGCTGAGGTTGCCGCTGTTGTTGCTTGCTGGGGGGTATAGGTGAGTGAGGCATAGTCCCCATAATCATCTGAGATCTGTGTGGAATGTGTAGCTGCCGAAAATGTATCACGTGTTTGAGAAGAAGGTATACCACCCATGGCACTAGCTTCATGGCATATTTCCGCATATATATTCTCCTTGGTATAGTCTAATAAATGTAAAGCTTGTCGTATAGTACCCGCGGGCACATCGGGAGGACTGCCCTCATCACTGGATAGTATCAAAGAGTCTCGTACACTGGAATAGGGTAAATCATCTTCTATAAGACTTGAGGGTGTTAGAGGTGACATTAAAGAAGTATTTTGTGATTGTGAGTGATGGCCCAAGAGGGAGAGGCCACCAGCAGCTCTACGACCGGTAACCGGTTCTCCTATATTGAATTCTAGTCTTTTATCAAAAGATCTATTGTTGCTATTGCTGTGATTTTGATTTGTTTGATTTTTCAGTTGGGCTAGAGATCTCTTATTTTCTCCGATTTGCATTTTCTGCGGTAGAGAAAAGTTGAGCAGTTGATGTAAACTCGAAGAGGATTTACTATATTGCTTAGTTTTCACATGAAACTCATTGTAAAGTTTTTCGGTTATAAACGAGGTTTGTAGAGGTTCACGATTCTCCACGTCTTCTATATCGGTGCCAGCTTCTGAAATAGTATCTGTGGTGTGATGTGAAGCCAATAAATCGGGTTTACGCAGTTGCCGGCCTATAACATCGATATCTTGTAAAGACATGGATTTTTGCAAAATATTGGGTTCGGTAGCCATGATTTCATTCGAGGCGAACTTATTAAACTTTTCATTAATGGTGGCCAAGGTAGTGGTCTCGGTATCGGAACAGCCTATATCCGAATTACCGCCACTTAGTTCCGAAGCACATTCTGAATGTTCGTGCTGTGTATGGGTTTTATCACCAAATCTTTCTTGCAGTAGTTTAGACATATCCGAGTAACGTTCCATGCTCATTTTCTTGGCCTGTACATCTAAATCCAAAGAAGTCAAAGATTTCACCGAATTCTTATCCTGTTTCTTAAACCATTTCTTTTTGGTCGATTGGAAAACCTTCATTTTCTCTGATATTCTATTGGCCTGCTGATCAAAGGCCTGCTCTTTATTCTCTAGATTTTGTAAGTCCGTTTTACTCAAGAATATTATAGAATCCTCTTTTTCATGAGCTGATATCGTTGTCTTTTCTCTTCTCAGCAATTTGGGCAGATGCAAGGGCTTAAGTATTTTTAAACCCTCTACTCGTGATTTAGATATGGATCTTTCAGATCTTTGTAAAATTTCTACTTCTACCATTTTTAAAAACTGATCACAGTTAAATTGACAAAATTTCAAAATGTTCTGTACATTGGGATTGGCCAACATGCGTTGTTCATTCTCAAAGCCTAAAGTATTTTTGACCAATTGCATTTCTTTGGTTAAATGTAATTTACGCAAGTGCAAAGGACTTTGCATATCGACATCTTCTATGGGACAGGCTATAATCACATTTTCAGTGGTAATTCTATTGATGCAAATATTTTCGGGTATTGCATTGGCACAGCCTGTGGGACCCGAAATGTACTTAAGGGTCATGGGTAATTCTTTGAGTGGGGTTATCAAGGCCGTTATTCTATGCACACAATCGGGATTGATTTTCTTCTGACCCGCCTCACTAGACATATCCAAACGTTTTTGCAGTATTTGTGGTATGCCCGGCTCAATTTCATAGAATTTACCTTTGGTAGCCAGTGAGACATAAAGAGTTTGTCTTTGTTCATTTAATAGTTGGGCATAACGACTTCTTTCCTTTTCTCGACCATGACTGGAGTTGGGTTTTGAATTACCCAGTCCACCACATGATATGGTAGAGCCTATAGCTGTATGTTCCTGCTTGCCATCTTCATAAACGGCCAACAATTTAAAGACTTGCCCTCCCCGGGCTGTGGTCTTTACATATTGAGGTCGATTGTTGGCATTATTCGAGTTTGAGGAATATATATTTAGACAACCTTCTGTGGGGGAATTGGCATTACTGCCATTTGCTTGAGATTCCATAAAAGCTGGCATATTTTCCACTGAGACAAATTTACAAACACGCTCTCGCACCAACTGCACCAGCGAAGTGTATAGAGTAGCTGTGGGCAGACCCTTGTCGTTGAGTAAAGAGAAATAGCCTGTAAGAAGAGTAAGAGAAGAGAGAGGAATTAGTAAAATGCTATGAGAAAATATATAATAGTTAACTTTTCTTATTCTTTAAAAATTGTCAGTGACCATAACCCAGATCTATTATAGAGACTGTAATATAGTTTAGTCTATAATCTGCACTATAGACTAGACTATAAACTAGACTATAGTTTAGACTATAGACTAGACTATAGACTAGACTATAGACTAGACTATAGACTAGACTATAGACTAGACTATAGACTAGACTATAAACTAGACTATAGACTAGACTATAGACTAGACTATAGACTAGACTATAGACTAGACTATAGACTAGACTATAGACTAGACTATAGACTAGACTATAGACTGGACTATAGACTAGACTATAGACTAGACTATAGACTAGACTATAGACTAGACTATAGACTAGACTATAGACTAGACTATAGACTAGACTATAGACTAGACTATAGACTAGACTATAGACTAGACTATAGACTAGACTATAGACTAGACTATAGACTAGACTATAGACTAGACTATAGACTAGACTATAGACTAGACTATAGACTAGACTATAGACTAGACTATAGACTAGACTATAGACTAGACTATAGACTAGACTATAGACTAGACTATAGACTAGACTATAGACTAGACTATAGACTAGACTATAGACTAGACTATAGACTAGACTATAGACTAGACTATAGACTAGACTATAGACTAGACTATAGACTAGACTATAGACTAGACTATAGACTAGACTATAGACTAGACTATAGACTAGACTATAGACTAGACTATAGACTAGACTATAGACTAGACTATAGACTAGACTATAGACTAGACTATAGACTAGACTATAGACTAGACTATAGACTAGACTATAGACTAGACTATAGACTAGACTATAGACTAGACTATAGACTAGACTATAGACTAGACTATAGACTAGACTAGACTATAGACTAGGCTATAGACTAGACTATAGACTAGACTATAGACTAGACTATAGACTAGACTATAGACTAGACTATAGACTAGACTATAGACTAGACTATAGACTAGACTATAGACTAGACTAGACTATAGACTAGACTATAGACTAGACTATAGACTAGACTAGACTATAGACTAGACTATAGACTAGACTATAGACTAGACTATAGACTAGACTATAGACTAGACTATAGACTAGACTATAGACTATAGACTAGCCTATGGACTAGATTATAGACTAGATTATAGACTAGACTATAGACTAGACTATGGACTAGATTGTAGACTAGATTATAGACTAGACTATAGACTAGCCTATGGACTAGATTATAGACTAGATTATAGACTAGACTATAGACTAGCCTATGGACTAGATTATAGACTAGACTATAGACTAGACTAAAGGCTTGATTAGTGACTAGACTATAGAATAAAATTGTTGTCAAGTTTAAAATGTAGCATATATAGTTTAGTATATAATCTGGTCCGTAGTCTAGTCTAACCTCATTTAATATGGCCTAAAATCATGTTTAAGTTTTCATTTTTACTCTTATTTAAGATTTAGAAACCGCTTTGAACCATAAACAAACTGTTTTTGCTAGAAATAGTATTTAAAGTTCATCTTCCCTGTACAAATTTCAAACAAAATTAATGACAATTTGAAAATTGTTTACATTAAACTAAATAAATTACTTCAGTCATTGTTAACTACAATTGTTACTAAGCCATTATTTGTAGTTTTTTTTTTTCTCTGTTAGTAATACTGCTAACAACAATTGTTAATAAACCAACTATAGACATTAAGTAATTTGCAATTAGCACGTAAAATTGTAAATGTTTAATGAGACACAAATACAAAATCTACATACATAAATGTAATATCATCTGGAAATTACTGCTCGTAACATAATCATCATCATAATGATGTTCCATTGTTATGAACAGAATTTGTTTACTTTATGCAAACCAGTCAGAAGTAAAAACTTTCATATGGTAATTTTGATTATTTAGGCCAGTATAAATTGGCTGAGAAATCAGCCAAGCTTTACGCTTAACAAAAATATTATATAGAAAATGTTTGATAATGTTCAGAACATGTGGAATATTAAATCATGATCAGTTCTTTTTCTTCGGTTAATTTTTTTTATTCTTCAAATCTATTGTAAATGATTTGTAATTATCCTTAAATAATACTAATGAATTGCTTTAAGTCTTTACTAGTCAGTGAAACATTTCACTAACTAATGCGCTAGTACACATATACTTAGAAAGAGTGTCAGGAAAGGACCATACATATACAAACATATAAACAGTATATGTATGTGTAAATTTCCTTATTTCGTAAAAGGACAATATAAAATATTGCATTTCTGTGTAGTCACTTGAGCGAAAATTTGTTGCTAGAGTATGAGTGGGCGTGTGTAGTAATGTTAGTAGAAGTAAATAGTTGCTGTAGTAGTGGTAGTTTATCAATAATCCTATTTTATACTAAAAGCTTCATTTTAATTTCGTTTGACACTTTTAAGCTTTTGCTTGAAGCAAAGAAATTAATGTTAAATGAATGGTAATGTCACTCTACTACTACATGCCCATAATCATCAGTAAACAAGAGAGGAGATAGAACAAAATAAAGAAAAAAGGACAATGGCAATATTAGCGATAATAACAAAAAAAATAAAAAGATTTCTAAAGGAAAAACCCGCAAAACTTGAACCCAAATAAAAATAAAGGGAAATGGAGACTAGGAACTCTAGTAAATAATAAAAATGAATCAATTAAATCCATATATAGAATGAACATCATGGTAAAAACCAACCAAGCAAACAACTATCCTTGTTGTTGTTATTGTTTGCAACAAATTCTCAATGAGGACATATTAAGCATCAAAAAATGCCAGCAGGATTAAAAAAATAAAAATACGTTAAAAAAGGATTAATTTGTTAAAGGCAGGTGTCTCTGAGAAGGAAATAAAAATGGCGGCTGAAAAGATAGGGGTTTGTTGAAGGTACTTAAAGGACTTCGACGAGAAATAGAAAGAGGTAAAAGTTACTTTTGTTTAAAATTAAAATGACCACGCTTGTTAGACGATAACATTTAATGAACGACTCTAAATGACAAAAAGTATATAAAAGTAATGCAGCAGCCAGTCGAGTGCAAAAAATTGTGCAAAATATTTGAAAATATACAAAAGAAAAAAAGCAAAATGCTATAAAAATAGACAAAAAGGACCAAAATAAAACTCTACTTTAATAAAAACAAAAAATAGTTCAATTCAATTTTTTCAACAAATTGATCACAATTTTAAGCAGTCTAGTCTATAGTCTAGTCTATAGTCTAGTCTATAGTCTAGTCTATAGTCTAGTCTATAGTCTATAGTCTAGTCTATAGTCTAGTCTATAGTCTAGTCTATAGTCTAGTCTATAGTCTAGTCTATAGTCTAGTCTATAGTCTAGTCTATAGTCTAGTCTATAGTCTAGTCTATAGTCTAGTCTATAGTCTAGTCTATAGTCTAGTCTAGTCTAGTCTATAGTCTAGTCTATAGTCTAGTCTATAGTCTAGTCTATAGTCTAGTCTATAGTCTAGTCTATAGTCTAGTCTATAGTCTAGTCTATAGTCTATAGTCTAGTCTATAGTCTAGTCTATAGTCTAGTCTATAGTCTAGTCTATAGTCTAGTCTATAGTCTAGTCTATAGTCTAGTCTATAGTCTAGTCTATAGTCTAGTCTATAGTCTAGTCTATAGTCTAGTCTATAGTCTAGTCTATAGTCTAGTCTATAGTCTAGTCTATAGTCTAGTCTATAGTCTAGTCTATAGTCTAGTCTATAGTCTAGTCTATAGTCTAGTCTATAGTCTAGTCTATAGTCTAGTCTATAGTCTAGTCTATAGTCTAGTCTATAGTCTAGTCTATAGTCTAGTCTATAGTCTAGTCTATAGTCTAGTCTATAGTCTAGTCTATAGTCTAGTCTATAGTCTAGTCTATAGTCTAGTCTAGTCTAGTCTAGTCTAGTCTATAGTCTAGTCTATAGTCTAGTCTATAGTCTAGTCTATAGTCTAGTCTATAGTCTAGTCTATAGTCTAGTCTATAGTCTAGTCTATAGTCTAGTCTATAGTCTAGTCTATAGTCTAGTCTATAGTCTAGTCTATAGTCTAGTCTATAGTCTAGTCTATAGTCTAGTCTATAGTCTAGTCTATAGTCTATAGTCTAGTCTATAGTCTAGTCTATAGTCTAGTCTATAGTCTAGTCTATAGTCTAGTCTATAGTCTAGTCTATAGTCTAGTCTATAGTCTAGTCTATAGTCTAGTCTATAGTCTAGTCTATAGTCTAGTCTTAGTCTATCTATGTCTAGTCTATAGTCTAGTCTATAGTCTAGTCTATAGTCTAGTCTATAGTCTAGTCTATAGTCTAGTCTATAGTCTAGTCTATAGTCTAGTCTATAGTCTAGTCTATAGTCTAGTCTATAGTCTAGTCTATAGTCTAGTCTATAGTCTAGTCTATAGTCTAGTCTATAGTCTAGTCTATAGTCTAGTCTATAGTCTAGTCTATAGTCTAGTCTATAGTCTAGTCTATAGTCTAGTCTATAGTCTAGTCTATAGTCTAGTCTATAGTCTAGACTATAGTCTAGTCTATAGTCTAGTCTATAGTCTAGTCTATAGTCTAGTCTATAGTCTAGTCTATAGTCTTAGTCTATAGTCTAGTCTATAGTCTAGTCTATAGTCTAGTCTATAGTCTAGTCTATAGTCTAGTCTATAGTCTAGTCTATAGTCTAGTCTATAGTCTAGTCTATAGTCTAGTCTATAGTCTAGTCTATAGTCTAGTCTATAGTCTAGTCTATAGTCTAGTCTATAGTCTAGTCTATAGTCTAGTCTATAGTCTAGTCTATAGTCTGGTCTATAGTCTAGTCTATAGTTTAGTTTATAGTATAGTATATAGTCTAGTCTGGCCTATAGCCTAGTCTATAATCTAGTCTATAGTCTAATCTATAGTCTAATTTATAGTGTAATAT